TGTGCAGCGTCTCTCCCCCTCCACCCCCCTCCCCCTCATTCCCCCTTTTGGACGCAGAAGTTACCGGATTTCATCTGCCAAGAAGACGCGCTCCCCCACTTTGCCCCAGGGGGGTTGGCTTTCCTTTCCCCGCCGGCGAGGTTGAGGTTCTGTTGCTGGCGCTGAAGGCATTTCGGGAATTCCCGCGCTGGTTGCCAGAGGAAACCTGAGCCGAAGCGCCTCGGCCACTCGGTTGCCTGCAAAGGCTCCTTGAATGAGACGCCAGGCAAGGACCACCCCGGCCGGCTCCAGCCGATGACTTCCCCCAAGCCCGGCCAGCCTCCAGGCTCTGCTGCGCCCTCGGTGCCTGCAAGCGGGACCCTTGAAAGGCGGGCGCCCAGTTAGCGGAGCGCGCGCGGCGGGCGGGGGCTTCCCTTCCCAAGCGCCCTTTTGCCCAACCGGTCCTGGGCGGCTGCGAGGACCTTTGCAGGGCAAGAAGGAGAAGAGGAGGAGGCCCCGGCCGGCCAGCCAGCCTGCACGTTGCCCGGAGCGCCTGGGCTCTCCTCCAGCCACGCACGCATGGAGTCTTTCGGCGGGCTCCGGCAGCTTCTCCTGCTGCTGGCTTGCCTTCCTCTGCAGAGCGGGCAAGGTAAGGTGGGCGGGCGCGTCTGCACCGCGGAGAAGCTGGGACGGGGAGAAGGTCGCAGAGAGGGCTGCTCGGGGCCGAAAGAAGGTCGGGGACTTCCGCTTCTGGCGGGCCGGGGGAAGCGACCCCTGCGGGGCTCTAGGGCAGGGAAGGGGGCACCTGGTGTTGTCCCCGGGGGGTCAGCGGGATCCTGCTGCTGTCGGAAAGGGCGAGCGGTTAGAACAGACACGCGCAGTTGGGATTGCAACTTTCCTTTAAGAAAGCACACGCCTACGCATCCCCACCCTCCATACACAGCTTTTTAATCTTTAAAGGGAAGACCTGACCAAAGATAAGGACTTTAAAAATGTGCCGCTCTGGCTAGGTGATACTCATTGTTGATCGAATCCACATTAAAAATGCTCGTGTTGATTTCAGGAATCCTTTCCCCAGTTGAAACGGTTCTGCAATTCGGTGCACGTTTAACTTGCTGGTGAAGGGCCAGTGAATTCAGGGTGACTTGTTCCTGGATTTAGTGTAAGGGCATGAGAAACCCCACAGGACTCATTGCATCCCACCTGCTACTTCTTTCCACTGCATTCAGAAAGGCTTGAGTCCACCTTTCTGCCCAGGGGCTTTCTTCCTCTGTGGCTGCTCACACGGTCTCCAAGGAACTGCATGGGCGCAGAGGAAGTGGTCAGGGTGGACAGAAAAGGAGAAGGAATGAGAAAGGTGCAGACAGCTATGTGCTAGAGAGATGGGTAAAGGGAGTCTTGCAGAGGACGTTTACGTGGAAGTAAGCCACACTGTGCTCAGTAGCTCTTACTCCCAGGTAAGCATGTATGGCATTACAGCCTTAATCTATAGCAGAGACGACAACAGATTCTGCTGGTGGGGTTTTATGTAGTCTTGATGGTCTTCTCACATTTTAGATCTGTGTGGGTAGTCCTGTGAGTCTGTCTGTAGCAGTAGCGAAGAGCAGGAGTTCAGTAGCACCTTAAAGAGTAACAGAATTTGTGGCAGGCTGTGTGCTTTTGTGAGTCACTGCTCACTTCTTCAGATATTATCTGAAGAGGTGAGCAGTGACTCACAAAAGCTCGTCCCCTGCCACTAATTCTGTTACTCTTTGGACTCCTGCTCTTTGCTACTGCTACCAATTTTTTATACAAGTTTGCTCCTGAGGAAAAGAAACCTGTTTCGCGGGTTGTACTGAAAACTCTCTCTCTCTCTGATCTCTCTTTGGAATTTTGTGTGTCTCGTTTAGTGTGCAAGCTCTGAGCATATGGTATGCAGTGCTACGCTTGAGCATATGTATGTGCTCCATAACTAGGTAGTCTTTTCAACCCAACAGTACCAGTGGAAGTGTGGAGGCTTGTCAGTCTGGGGTGAAGAGAATATGGAGGAATGTACCCTTTTAGCTCCTGGACCACTGACTGGAGGTTAGGTTGACCCTGGGAAGCCAGAAGTTGGCCATTCCAGCTGTATTATTCCCATACAGGCAACAGCCACTTAGTTATTTGCCAAGTGTAGTACATCTATAGTCACTTTCATACATCACAGTCTGTTCCTGCAAAACATTTCACACACACACACACACTCATATATATAAAACTGCAAAACATTTCAGTTCTCTAACATTTATATGGAAAAATAATACCACTGATTTTAACCAAACTATGTTTAGTTTAAGATCAGAGTGTTGAATTAGATTTATTTCAGAGAAAACAAGATTTGGGTCTTTGTTTCAGGGCTTAGTCCCAAATTTGATTTTGGTGTTTTGGAGCATAGGTAGCAAGGCTGTCTTGGGCATGTGTAGAACATCTTTGCTTCACCACTGAGTGGCCACAGCTATATGTAACTGTGGAGACCACATAAGGAGCAGACTGTCTGGTAAGTTTGAATACTGGCACTTTATTGTTTTGCCACTAATGTGGTGATTTCACTGACATCTTTGAAATCTGATTCAGAAATGATACTAGGATGTAAGAAACCAAAGGACAAAATCTGTACCACATCTCAGTGCAGTATCTTCCAGCCTGCCTAGAGTTTTGTTGCCATCTGACTCCCCTTGACATCACAGATCACATGCCCTCCTCACCTGTCGGATCAACACGTTCTGTGTATGACCTCATGTTGAGTCTTAGGGTGTTTGCTGGAGTACATTGCGAGATGCTTGTCTCCAAAGGCTGACAAACACCTGGGAGTACAACTAAATGCAGCATTGTGAGTGGGCGTCCCCTGTGTGTTCCTCAGTGGAGATCAACATTTTGCCTCCTCAGTGCCACATGAAACGGCTCTTATTTTAAATGGCTGAAGTTCACAGCCTATCCCATGTGATTAACTAATCTGGAATATTCACTTCTTCTGGCTGTCTGCTTTCATTCACTAACCACAATGGGATTCACCTGCCACTGGGGTAAAAAAAACAGATGTCCCTTTACCTCATGGTACCTGCTCTCCTTTTGAGTGAGGAAGGGTGTTCCTTCTGACCTGGGTCATCGTTTTTCCTGTCTGATAATCGGCAGGAGCTTGGGGTGGGCACGTGTTTGTAGCCAGTTGAAAAAGGACCACTGCAGTATTTGCATCAGAGGGACTGCATATCCACCCCTACTTCCAGTGGAGAATTAGGTTCATATTTACTGGCATTTCCATCTGTTCCTGCTTGAATTACAGCCTGCTGGCAGATCTGCTCTTTCCCATGGACAGTGGCTTGGGGGTCAAGAAGCACACCATGATGTCTGTCATACCAAACCATCCATTATTCTGGCCATATATATTAAGGGGCAAGCACCCAGAAGTCCAAGGGTTAAACCCACCTTGGCCTTACAGCAAGCTGTGAGTATCTGCAAGATGAGAGAGTCTGAGGTTCTCTGCTTTCCATTGCTGTCTCCAACATTAGAGTGCTTCGAGGGATTTTCACTGGTGCTTTGAAGTTCCTTGGACTTGCTTCTGGGGAATGTAAAAAGTAAATTATAAGAGTGAACAGAGCCCTGAGTTTCATCCAAGAAAATATACGCTTTAATCCCCCCCCCCCTTTTTAGATACCTTCAAAGGGATGAGGACAGCCAATAAACAAACCCATAAGGGGGTAACACATCTATAGTCAGAGTATTTCAAATGTTTAACCGCTTCCTTGGTCCTGCTTACCTGGTCACCTGGCTTGTGAACTGGCTGGAAAACTATTGTAAGTAGGAAGACTGCTGGATCAGTAACTTTTTGGGGGTACGTTTATTTGCAAGATCAGCTTGGAGTATCCACAGGTGTTCGTTCCAGTCAGTCCTGTAGCAACCTTTACATTGACTTGAAAGATGGATTCAGGTGGGCAGCTGTGTTGGTCTGAAGCAACAGAGCGAAGTTTGAGTCCAGGGGGGCACCTTTAAGACCAACACATTTTAATTCTGGGTATAAGCTTTTGTGTGCATGCTCACTTCTTCGGAAAAAGAAGACGGAAGAAGGGTGCTTGCACACGAAAGTTTATACCCAGAATTAAAATGTGTTGGTCTTAAAGGTGCCCCTCTGGACTCAAACTTCGTTCTACTGATGTGAAAGATGGCTTGTTCTTATAATTCTTTTAATGGATGTTTATCCATTAGGTGCAAGTACATTTTTCAGATGTGTGTGTGAATGCACGACGAGGCTTAATAGTTTTGCAATTAAACATCTCGCTGGGGAAACTGGGCACTGTATTTCAATTATATTTTTACACATTTCATCATTAATGCCTGCATGGAAATTGGTCTATATTTAAACACAGTTTCCAAGATTCCATCCCACTCTTCCAATATTCCACTTCAGTCTGGTGTGTCCAAGAAAGAGAATCCAGAAGTCAACTATGGGGGTGAATGGGTGGAGATTGGCAGACAGGAGCAGGTGTGAGTCTCAAAAGCTGAGGCCACCAGGGAGGAGGGTTAGCTTCTACCCAAGGAGGTCCCCAGCAGCATCCCTGTACTTTCTCCCACGTGAATATCTGATTGATTTCCATATGGGGAAATGTAAATAGCTCCATTTAGGGCTAAGTCTGTTCCTGACAGGGCCACCACCAGGGTGGAGAGCGGAGGCAGTTACATTTCAACACACACCCACATTTCAAACTTGATGGGCCTTCTGCCCAGATAAAATTCTGTTCAGAGAGGAAAGAATGGTAGAAACAGCCATCTTGGGGAATAATCTAGCCCAAGTTAAGCTGTGGTCTCCTTGAAATGAAACAAAAGAAATTAAGCATGGCCAGCTCCCTGTGAAATGAATGGGACGTGGCAGGATCCCTCCCTTTCTTTTTAAAGAGGGAGGCTTAATATAAAGAGGTGAAAGTGTGCAAAGAACCGCCGAATTATCATTGTCTTAGGATACCTGCTCTCCTCTAGCACTCCTCTGGCACTGCCCATTTCTCATGCAGGGCTTACACTGCTGCAGCACTGGAACTCTGCCAGCACGCACTGGTGCCAGCGTAAGTTACTCAAGTAAAGGGGTTAATTGCTGTCCTAAATGCTTCAGGTCTCCGGCTTAAGACTACTTTCTAAATCAGCTACTATCCACTCTAGCAGGGTACCTCAACGGAGTGCCTGCAGGCATTCCAGGTGCCTGCCCTACGCTTCAGGAAAGTAGGCAGGGCCACTGTGAGGGCAGAACCGATGACTGGCTGCCTTAGGGGGCATCAGAACACCTCTCCCCCTAGTTTGGTGTAGGGGTTTGGTGTAGTAGCCAATTGGCGTAGTGGTGTAGTGGTTTGGAGTGCGGACTCTAATCAGGTTTGATTCCCCAGTCCTCCACATGCAGCTGCTGGTGTGACCTTGGGTCAGTCACGAGTTCTCTCAGAGCTGTTCTCTCACGAGCCGTTCTCTCAGCCCCACCTACCTCTCAGGGTGTCTCTTGTGGGGAGGGGAAGGGAAAGGAGATTGTAAGCCACTCTGACACTCCTTTGAAGGGCAGGGTATAAATCCAATCTCCTTTTCCTTCTCCTCCTCCTTCTCATGTGTGCTATGTTTGTATTCCCCCTTCCCACGTGTTTGGCTCTGTCTCAAGATCCC